CCGCCGATGTCGCTGCGCCCGCGCGTGGCCGCCAAAGGAAAGGAAAGGGGAATCGCTTAGTAACTGATGGTAGGGGTCCCTCTGCTTGTGATTGTAGGCAGCTGATTCTGATCGTGGATCTCTATGGCCCCAGCGATGTTCACGGTTACCTGAGGCACGTTGCCCTGAAGTTGTGTGCAGACAAAGTTGCTCAAGTGCGCTGGATTTCCTTCAAACTAGTAAGGAGCCGGCCTTCCTGGGGCCCATTCCTGTACACAGCACACTTTTTCTGCTTCCCATTTTAACACCATTTTTTTTTTTTTCTGGGCCCTGTTTGCCATTTTCTCTATAAGCCCAGCCTTTAACTTTTGCAGTTAGAAGCTGTATTGTTTGATCATTTTCAGGATACCCTTCTGTTGTTAATTTAATGCTTCCATGCTGGTAACTGTGCAAAAATGATTTTTTATTTGAAACTTTTTACGTAATAGCTCAGGGTTTTGGTGTGTGTGGGGGGTTGCTGTGGTTGTTGTCTAGCACCCCACAGCTTTCTAGAACAATCAATAATGCTTAGAGCCTCCCAAAGGAAAAAGATGACTGTGTTCTGTAACTGGCACTCTTACCGAGGAAGACCACCTTTCTTAAATATGGTTGTTTTAAAATTTCTTGATGGTATTAAAGTTTTATGGAAATACCACATCCTCAAAGGTAACAGTTTACACATTTCACAAGATGACATGTTTTTACAACTGAATTCTTCTTGATGTATTTGTCAGTCCCCTTCTTTTTTACATTCTCCTTGAAGACTTTTGTGGGCATGTATATATTATACCCATTTAAACATCTTTTCCCCTGTGTGTACTAGTGAGAACTGAAAGTTGCTTTCTTTTGCTTGTAAATTGATTGGGAAAGGTGGTCAAGAACATAAAATGTCCCTGTGCCATGCAGGTCACTGCTTGTAACTGACACGGGGGGGGGGGGGCATCTCATGGCTGACTCTTTTACATTGCTCACAGGTGGTGGTGATACTTCGTAAGTTCTACTCCCATGGTGCGAGTGCCCTGGGGCTCAGTTTCATCCAGGAGCTCATCTCCAGGTTCCGGCACTGCCCTAAGTGGGTTGGAAGGCAGGCTTTCGCTTGCATCTGTCAGGTTAGTACAGCCACAGAGAATCTGCCTGTGGGTTCCTTTCTCCTGGGAGAGGCTGGGATCACTTTACTGAGCCTGCTTACCTTGTGAGAGGCTAACCAGCTGTGAGGTACAGTGTCCTGCAGTCACCCAGGGCACTTGTTCCCACCCCAGACATGGTTGGTACCTACTGTGCACTGGGTATCCTGGAGATGAAATCAGTGAAGAGCCAGCCAGCTCTCCCACCAGACACAGCCCGCCCACTCCTGTCACACTGCATCCAGGGTTAGGGTGCAGAAACCCTTTTCATTCCCCAGGCTTAAAATTTACATCACCCTGTCTCCTCAACAGCCCTCTCTAAGTAGCACCTTTGAAATGGGGGTGTATGTGCTGGTAGTGACTGGAGTTCATCTGGAATGTCAGCCACCTTGATACTTCTGGGTCTCCAGTAAGACCTCCTGCGTGGGGAGCATGGTGGAACCGCTGGCACACTTGTTCACCTCTAAGGATAATTATCTTAGGTGAAGCGGTAACCCAGAGATCAAGTGATCAGGGTCTCACTACAAGTGCAAAGTCATGGCTTTGACTGTTGAGGATTTTGTCCCCCACATGTTATTTTTATCGTTTTGATGTTTCATCATGCTGTCTGCCGGCACCACAAAGGCAAAGGGGACAGTGCGCCACCTCCAGGAGCGGCTTGCCCAGCTGTATCCAGCCGGTTTTGATGGAGTTCTGTGTGACCCGCCCCCTCTGCCTAATGAACAACTACAGTTAGAGGGCTCACCAGCTCCCCCTGTCGGTATAGAGGGACATAGCCGGTATTTTTCCACAGCACAGACATCTGTGAAGAAAAACATCACTATTCGTATCATTGTGTAGCAAAAGCAGAAATGAAATCTTTTTTCTTTTATGTTTTTAATTATTTATCTGGAATGTAGAAAAATGTGAGAAACAAGAAATGATACCAATCCATTTTGTTCAAGAAAAACCAACAAGATCTTTTTTAAGAAAAAAAATCTAATTATTACAGATGTAGAAAACCAGCAAACACAAAGCAAGGGAAGGCTGCTCAGGAGATAGTGTACCTCTGAGACTTGTTAATTTTGATCTGACCACAGCTCTGGGAAGAAGGTACTAGGTGACAAGGCAGATCTGGAATGAGACCTGGCTGGCCCAGAGCCTGTTCCTGAGCTCCCTGCCAGTGGCCTGTGCAAGCAAATCTCTGCACAGTGAAGTGTACCCCTCTTGGCTTGATGCAGCCCCACTGCCTAGAACAAGCTTGGCACCCAGAACTACTTGATGGCCCCAAACATTGATGGTAACTACCATGAAGCCAGGCACCACTCAGTTGTTGGTCCTGAGATTTTCAGTGCCACTACCACACTGGAACAGAATTTTCTCACCATAAACAAAGCTAGTGACCAGATTAAGTTCTGAACCTACAGCTGCCTGGCTCCAAAGCCCATGTTTCCCCTCAAGCTCTTGAGCTCCTTATCAGTCGTTCCTTGGAAGTGAGTTATAAAAATTAGCCACTGGTTATAACTAAATTCAGTTATTGAAATACGAAAGGTTACATGGGCACACACGTGCCTCTCAAACCTACAGATCCTGAAGCAATGTCTTTAGAATATGCAAGACTGTGTGCTTTGGAGTCTTGAAGTCAATGCTGGGCTGTGGCTCTCATTTCTACAGGCTGTGGTGAGTGAAGACTCTGTCCCTGTGGACCAGTTTGTGGAACACTTGCTTCCCAGCCTCCTGAGCCTGGCATCGGATCCTGTGCCAAACGTGAGGGTGCTGCTGGCCAAGGCCCTGTGGCAGACACTGCTGGAGAAGGGTGTGTGGCCCTTGCCCGTGGCAGGTGGTGGCTAGGTCCCCAAGGAGTTACAGCAGGCTGAACAACAACACTGGAGACACAAGATAGCTAGAGAGATGAATGCAGTTCCATCAGATACAAACTATCACACAGCTTTGTGGGGGGCGGGGGGGGGGGCGGACACATGCACATTTATCAGTTCCAGTTAAAATATGGAATGGAGCCGAAGTCTGTCTCAGTGCTGCTGCAGTGTGACGCCACTGGGCGGTTTAAGCTTGAGGGATAGTGAGCGTGAGCTGTGTGTCGGTGCTGGCTTACTTCTCCACCGTAGATGGGGCTGTTCCTTTGTTGGTTTCTAGCCTTCTCCATGTCCTGCTGACCCCATGCACCAGTTCTTATGTACTGCAGAACACGATGCCTGTAAAGGCTTCATTACTCTGACTTTTAAAGCAGGTGTCACCATTAAAATCTCAGAAACACTTTCAGAATGAGGAGTTTTATCACTTGAAAGGACTTGGGCGTGTGGGTGGGCATGGAAAAGTATCCAGTGTCTTGACACACTTGGTGGCACATGTAACTCCAACTTTTCTCTCCTTAGCATATTTTAGAAATGCCGGGGACCATCATCTTGAAGTTGTTGAAGAGACCCTCTTGGCTCTGCAGTCTGACCCGGACCAAGACGTCTCATTTTTTGCTTCCCTAGAGCCAAAGATGCAGAATGCTGCAGACACCACTGTACTGGAAAACTAGAACTAGCACACTGTGGCGGGTGCACAGGGGTGGCTTCAGTGCACACATGCCTGTAACTTGAAGGGGATCTAATTGTATTGGCACTTGTGGAGGAGATTTACTTGAGGTGATGGGGCAGCCCTATGCTTCCCACCCCTCCAGACCTGACCCTAGGCAGGTTACAAAGGCTGTGTGGATCCAGGCACCAATGACTCTCTGGCTTCCACACCATCAGCTGTGGCCATCAGTTTGCTTTTTAGGAGAGACTATGTTACTTAAAATCTCCCTGAGAGTCTGGTATGATTCTTCACACCTGTAGGCCTAGCACCTGGGAGGCTGGGGCAGGGAGAGCGAGAGTTCAAGGTCAATCTAGAGAATTCCAGGCCTGCCTGAGCTACATAACAAAACCCTGTCCAAGGAAACCAAACATAAGTACATCCCCTCGCTAATAAAGTAATTTAGTAGAAGCTTGTACATCTTCTCTGGGCTTGCTGCCCTAATCCTTTCTGAGAAAATGGGGTTTATGGCATTGTATTTTATCTCCAACTGAAATACTGTACATATGTAAATAACTTGACAGAAGGATGATATATGAATGTAACACTAGCCTCCCTGGTGAAAAATATGTCCTGTGAAGTCTCCTCCTGCTTGTCCCGGAGCTGCTGCACAGCTGTCTTGATGACCTTTGAACTGTGTCCTAGTAAAGAATGGTTAGCTCTCTGAGGGCTCCGCTTGGGTATTGAACTTTTGTTAGCCATGCTACACTCAGAACGTCTCCCCCAGCTTCACCCTTTCCCTCTTCAGAGACTGAAAACATGTGTTGGTCTTTGACAGCAGCCAAGTCAGAGGTTGTTTTTAATTAGGACTCCAGAGGAGGTAGGGTGGGGGCTGATTGCTGTAATGCATGGACAGTGACTTAACACTTTAGACTTCAAAAAAGAAAAGAGCAGAAAAAAAGCCATACTTTTGACCAGAGCTTTCTAGGCACCATTGTTTGGGAATTCAGTTATGTACTCTTTACATTGGCTTAAAGTACAAAGATCTTAGATTTCCTACTTTTGGATTTCAGATGAACAGAAAGATGCTGTATAGTTTAAACAGATTTTCATTCACTAATAATTCTGTATTCTGTAGACATTTTCATTATGGTTCTGTACCTGTGTCTATCCCAGCTTTGTGTTTCTGATTTTAACATGGCAAAGGTGGCAGAGCAGCCCATGGGGCCCAGGAGCTTCTTTAAAAACAAAAAAATAAAATAAAATAAAAATAAATAAAACCCTGTAAAGTCATATGTTGAATTTCCTGGTATACAGGATACCCCTGCAGGTCCCAGATACCAATGGTCTTGTTAATTAAAAAGAAAGAAGGCCTAAGAAGGCTCTACCCTGTGCCAAAGAGAATGGGAAATGTGTAAAGAACTCAAACAGCAAGCACAGGCAATGTTTGGGCTGCTTTGGCACAGAGTTAATTTATTAAAGTAAACACTGCTTTGTGTTTACTCTATGCCCACAGTAAATAGATGGACCACACTGCATGCAGGGCAAGGCTTCTGCAACAGACATGTTTGTATTGCCTGTGAAGTGGAGAGTGTTGTATTAAAATCTGTTGTTCTAAAAGTAAGGAAAATTATTTAGCTGGAATCTTGGATTCTCTGCAGAGCATAATGTTCTATAAAGAAAAATAAAAGCCTGGGCACACGCCTTTAATCCCAGCACTCTGGCAAAGAAAAGTAGATCTCCAAGTCTGAGCTCAGCCTGATCTACAGAGCTAGTTCCAGGACAGCCAGGGCTACCCAGAAAGCCTGCCTCAATAAATAAATAAGGATTCGGTGTCCTGAGGTAGAATCTGGGCACTAGGGTCCAATTTGAACACTTGAGATGACAAAGCCAGCCTCCTATGAAGACTATGGCTCAGTGTTAGGGAGAGAACTTTCCTCTCATGGGTGGAGCCTTGAGATCAATACCCAGTTCCACAAAAAAAAAAAAAAAAAAAAAAAAAAAAAAAATTTAAAA